TCTGGACCCCTGAGATCCAGGAGGGGCAGGACCCCTGAGATCCACGTGGGGCAGGGCGACCATCACCACCACCACCACCATCAGCAGCAGCAACTCTGCTTGACAAACTGTCTTGTGTTCAAGGGAGGTGGTCCAGAAATCAGTCCTTGACGTGCATCGGAGGGGAAGACAGCCTCCAGGTCCCCACCTGCACACGAATGAGCTCCCCAGAGTGAGCGAGAGGCACCAGCTTCCCCACGATGCCCCCGGGCCCCGAGGGACACCCAGCCCAGCACATCCATGTGACTGGAGCGACGGTGGGGACAAGGGCTGGAGCTGTAGGGACGACTCGACCGTTTCCTCGCTGTGCGTTTCTGGAAGATCGTGGCCTCCGATGGCTTCCACATTCCATTCTCAGAAGGTGACCTTACAGCCAAGGTTGCACGTCACCTTCAGCAAAGCTGAACACCTATTGTGTCAGGTAAAACCCCGAGGCCCAAAGAGAGAAAGGAGAAAAGGGAACACGGAGTGCATGTGGTTATTCTTAGAGAAAGTCCCGTTGCCGCCCTTGGATTCGGAGGTTCGGCAGGACTCGCAGAAGTCCGCAAAGAAGTGCGCCCGTGGCCCTGACTTCATACAACAGAAGCCAGAGGGGGCAATCGGCCCCACATAGAGGGGCTTGGCAGAGCCCGAGACAGGGGACGCGTGGGCTTACAGTTGTCATATCTCCATGGACATGCGGAGGGTGGGCAGGTGTCCCAACAGCCTCCTGCGGCCACGCACGCAAAGGATAGCAAAATGCGCCCTGAGCCGTCAGCCTGCACTCGGGGACACGTGCTTGTGCACACGGATGCTGGACGGGAGGGGGTCACGCCCCAGGTCAGCTCTCCAGGAGCGCGGACAAGCCGAGGCTTCCACTGACCGCGGACAGGGGTCCCGACTGTATGGAATGAGCCCGCATCACAGGAAGGGGGCGGGCGCTGAGCAGAAAAGGGAAGTGTCGGCTGAAATGCCCCTGCAGTGCAATCACGGTCCTCACTTTCTGACACGGCCCAGAGCCGCCTGACACAGCGGCCAGATGGCAGCGCGCCGGGAAACAGAGAGAGAAAGCAGGTGGCCAGCGCGGAGGCTGGAGCCCTGGGGTAAGGCGGGTTCCTTGCCTGTCTGAGTCTCCGATGCGCCTTGTCACCGTGGTACCTGACACCGTGGTCCTGCCGCTGACACTGGCCGTCAGGGAGCACCTGAGGGGGAGGAATGGGAAAATCCGGATGGGGGGCCCCCGCGCAGAGGGGGGGGGAATTCCAACAGCGCGTGGGTGCGGTGTCGGAGGGTCTGAATTAGCCTCAGGGATGGATGAGCCCGCTTGCACCGGGACCGGGCTGTGCGTGGGGATCCCAGAAACCACTCGGGACTTACTCCGGAGGCTTGGATGCGCTCAGAAGTACCACGTACACACGGTCTTCCATACGGGCAACGGTGCTTCCCGGATCCTGGGGATACACGTTCCTGATGGTCGCTCACGTCAAAGCCCCCGGCAAGCAAGTGCAGATCTGCCGGCCGGCCTGGGTAGCAGGTGTCTCTGGGGACAATGACGTGGTGATGGAGCGCATCCGCGTCTGGTGACAACCGAGAGAAGACGGGAAAGTTGGGTAGGCAGTGGACGCAAAGGAGGGCAGTGCTATGTGGTCACCATTCATTGGAGACACGCAGCCCGGGCGGGTCCAGGTTGGCAGGAGAGACGTGAGTAGGTCGAGCAGTGGGCACGGGGTCCCCCTTTTGGGGGGTCGAGGACGCCCCGGCTCAGGTGGGGAGGATGCCTGAACGTTGCCGATGCGCGAAATACTGCGGAACCGTAGGCGTTGAAAGGGTGGATTTTATACCGTCTGCGTTTTTAAAAATCAAGGCAAAGATAAACTCAAGGAAGCACGAGATCCTACCCCCCTGCCCCGCCGGATGGCATTTTCCCATCCGGTGGAGTGAGGCTGGTAGGAGCTGCCCCCCAGGACGGGCGTGAGCAGGGAAACCAGGAACCCCGTGGGAGGTGCCTACGCTCACCACACCAGGCGCCTGAGACATCACGGCACCAATGACTTCACGCTTCACCGCAATGTCCTCCTCGGGGACTGTCGGCATCCTCGGCCAAGAGCCGCACAACGTGACTAACCATCCAGTCAGAAGAGCAGCCCTCCCGTGGGTCCCCTGCCCGCCACCCTTGGGTATGAAACACCCCAGTTGTTTGCTTTTGGGTTTTTCTTTTTTTTCCTTCATCCAGTTTTACAGAAGTTGATGGTTTTGCTCCATCACCATGAGCAAGAAGAAACAGGCAGGGGTCAGTGCAGAGGAAGCAGAATGGGGAACAGGTCCAGGCGGGGGCAAATTTCGGTGCAGTAATTCAGGGTGGCGGGTACACTGGGGCGGTGGGGCGGGCGTACATCCACAGGCACCTGCTGTGTGTGCAGCCCCCAAGCAGGTGGTATGGGAGGCTGGAAAAAGGAGGAGAAACGCGGATTCAAGACGTTTATGGAGGTGAATGGAAAACAAGCCTGGGAAGGCCTGGGTGGGGCAGGGTTCAGCTGGCAGACGGAGAAAGCCGGAAGGTCGCCATAGCTCTGGACTGCTAGGTGCGGGGGAGGCCGGGAAGTTGGGACAGGTCTGGTCCCCGCTTTCATTTCCTCTTTTATAGCAAGTGTGGTGCCCTGCAGGCAGGGTGGGCTCTGGGAGGTTGGGAGGCAGGAATTTGAGGCCGGGGGCAGCTCCCCAGGTGCACAGTGGCTCAGGTGTGCACCCCTGGCGTGTGGGGGAGCTGGCTGGATTCTGCACCGTTGGGCTCCAGCCGGAGAAAGTGGTGCACAGTAGGGGAGAAGGGGCTGAGGCATCTAGAAGAGTCCTCAATAGGCAGGCCGCCTGTCACTGCACAGAGTGAGTGGGAAAGGAGGCAGGCGGTGAGGAATGATCCCCCACAGCTCAGAGGTCTGTGGGGCAGGGAGCAGCGAGGCGGGGGCCTGTAGCTCCTACAGAGGGAGGAGCCCCTGGGTGGGGCTGGATGTGGGGGAGAGAGGAGCCCAGATGTGCTGAACTGGCCATGCGTGGGAGGGAGACAGGAGAGGGAGCTTAACGGGGCCCAGGGGAAGAGGAAGAGAGCCCATGAAGAGAGGGACCAGCTGGATGGAGGCAGCCAGAAAGCAGACACTGGACGAAATGGGAAAGGACTCGGTGAGAGAGAGGGACGGAGGCAGGAAAAAGGAGGGAAGAAAGAAGGGACAAAATGAAGGAAGGAAGGAATGAAGGACAGAAGGAGGGAGGGAGGGAGGAAGGCAAGGAGGGAGGAAGGGAAGAAGGAAGGAAAGAAGGGAGGGAGAGAGGGAAGGAAGGAAGGAAGGGGAAGAAGGGAAAGAAGGAAGGAAGGAAAGAAAGTAGAAAGGATGCAAGGAGGGAGGGAAGAGAAATGGGAAGGAAGAAAGGAAATTTGTGGCTATCTGTTCTGTCTGCACCCGGGGAGCTAATATACCAAGAGTAAAGAAGGAGTGTTTAGAAAAGATAGAAAACATAGACCATTAACACAAGGAAATTACAGAAAACACCATCATGTGTGGTAAGAGAGAGAGAGAGGAACCTCCAAAAAAAGATAAGGAGTTAAAAGGATGAGGTCATAGGGAACACAAAGGCAGGAAGAAACAGCAGAGGCAGTTAGTGGCTGAGAAGGAGAGAAATACTTAGAGACCTAAGACCCTCGTTACAACTGACAAGTGACAACAACAATCACCAAGGAACGAGCCCCAGCAAAAATACCACCAGGGAGATGGTGGGCAGACCACAAGACCCCACCCCAAACCCAAGCGTAGCATCAGGTGTTCTCTGTTGAGTGCAGCTTTATGTGACCAGATCCCTTTGCTTTTGTCCTTACGTGTTGAAAAAGTTTTTAATAGACTTTGTTTTTGTGTTTAAGAGCAGTTTTAGGTTTACAGAAACATTTAAGTCAAAATTAAGGGATTCCTATATATGTGCTTCCCCTTGGACCTAGTCTCCCCCATTATTAATATTTGGCATCAGTGCGGCACAGCTGTTATAATTGATGGACCAATATTGATACGTGATTATTGATTAAAGTCCACGGTTTACATTAGAGTAACTTAACTCTTGGTGTTGGACATTCTTTGAGTTTGGACAGATGTGTAACAACATGGATCCACCGTTATAGGATGATAACAGAGTAGTTTCACTGCCCTAAAAATCCTCTGTGCCCCACCTGCCCATCTGTCCCTCCCCCAACCCTGAAGACAGCTCACTTTTTTCTGTGTCCATACTTTTTCCTTTTCCAGAATGTCATAGAGTTGGAATCATACAGGACGTATCATTTTCAAGCTGCCTTCTTTCACTTAGTAAATTATTTAAGCTCCTCCATATCTCTCTGTGCACTTACCCCTTTTTATTTTCCTCTTTTATGTTTACACACCCCTTTCGTTAGTTGCAAAACTCAAGTTTTTAAAAAAAGAAGTTAAAAAAAAGAGAAACCTCAAAATATTGCTATTACCTCAATGGAAACCTGACCTATCATTTCTTTTTCTACTCGCCCCAAATCCATTCTAATTATTAAGACAGAATCAGAGTGTGTGTCAACTATACTCCTATTAAAAACATTTTGGAGGCACCTGGTGGCTCAGTCGGTTAAGCGTCCGACTTTAGCTCAGGTCATGATCTCACAGTCTGTGAGTTCGAGCCCCACGTCGGTCTCTGTGTTGACAGCTCAGAGCCTAGAGCCTGCTTTGGATTCTGTGTCTCCCTCTCTCTCTGTCCCTCCCCTGCTCGTGCTCTGTGTCTGTCTCTGCCTGTCAAAAATAAGCAGCAAAAAAATTTTTTTAGTTAAAAAATTTTTATTTTATTTATTTATTTTTTTTCAACGTTTTTTCATTTATTTTTGGGACAGAGAGAGACAGAGCATGAACGGGGGAGGGGCAGAGAGAGAGGGAGACACAGAATCGGAAACAGGCTCCAGGCTCCGAGCCATCAGCCCAGAGCCTGACGCGGGGCTCGAACTCACGGACCGCGAGATCGTGACCTGGCTGAAGCCGGACGCTTAACCGACTGCGCCACCCAGGCGCCCCTAGTTAAAAAATTTTTAATACAAATTAGAAAATTAAAATTGTATGAACCAAACAAGAGTCAGCACAATGAGAAAGTAATAGGAGTGAGTGTAATTTTCTCCCAAGTACAGTGACATGTCGGGTGTGGCTTCAAGACTCATCTGGACCATGAGTCAAGCCTCATCAGCATGGCGGACGTGTGAATTTGCAGGGTAGATTCGCGGGGCACTGGTAAATCTCCATCCACGCTGTGCGCGGAGATCATTTTGTAACCTGCCTCTCACAGGAAGCTGATTCTGGAGAAGAGAGAAGTCAGTGAGTGGGTTCCTGGTTTCTTGGTCATGCGGGCTCTCGAGTAGGTGGACGGCCCAGGCCATTCTCTGCAGGTGGAACCGGAATGCATTTCTTTGACAAATGAAGGCGTAGCCTGGGGAAGGGCTTGGGGAGCCTGCGTTCCACCCGGACCCCGGTCAGAGACGGTCCAGACGTGTCCGGGAGGCAGAGAATGTGGAGCCAGGACCTCACTCACAGTCCAGCAGCCTGGGAACGACCCTGACTCTCTGTCTCCACTGTTGTTTTGTGCGCAACATGGCCATCAAGTTGGTGCCCATCCTGGACTCAGCCCTGAGCCCTAGGGAGTGAGTGGATCTTGGTACCTGTGGTGGGCACAATAACATGCCCAGAGACGTGTCCATCCCGATGTCAGCATGGTGGACGTCGTAATAAGGGCCCCGCGGACGTCTATCTCCTCCACTAGATTACAGACGGGAATGATGCCAGAGCATGTAGTCAACTCACCACAGGGACACAGAGGACACAGGGTGGGCTGGAGCCCGTGTCCAGGCTGCAGGCCAAGCCCTCGGTTCTGGGGACCCCCTGAGACTGGTTGTAACCTGCAGTGACCCCAGGCAGACCAGAGGGCTGGCCATCAGCCTGGGGATGGTCCTGTGGTTTTCCCCCGGAGCATCCCCCTGGGGAATCCTGTCTGGGTCCTCCTGCCGAGACCCCTAGTGAGAGCTGATTTCCTCACAGTGTGACTGTCCCTCCTTGCAGGGCTTCCTCGTCCTCCCAGCCGCCCCCTGGGACCCTTGGCCACAACCATCCTGTTCTGTATGCTGCTGGACCCAGCGTTACCCCTGACTCAGGAGCACCAGGGTAAGGGCGTGAAGCTGTCTGACCCTTTTCTGCCCGCCTCATTCCGCGTCCTGTGTCCCTGGGGACACGTCCTGACACGTGAGGTCTCTGGGTCCTCCCGCACCTTACGCGCCTGCACAAAGTCTGTGCTGTCCAGCCTGGCCCCTGCCGTGTGCGTTGCACGTGATGCTGATGAGGTCTGCTCACTCCGGAGTGTCCTGGGTCCAGGGCTGTGCACAAGCTGGCTGGACGTGTTCTCTAAATGCATCCGTGTTGTCAGAGTTCTGTTGACCGTCAAAGACTTTCTCGGCTGGGTTATGTCCGGGATTTGGTCACTCACTGACAGCTTGCCTGCTTTCTGATACCACTTCTGCCTTAGGACCAACCGGAGGAAGCCCGATGCGCTGTCCTAATGTATCACAGGGGCGCCCCGCTTCTAGGGAGTCACGTGATCTCCCCCACACCCACAGCCTCTGCTTGGGGCACAACCGAATGGCCCCGCTTGTCCACTGTGAAACCTGCCCTCCCCTCTGTCCGCCCTTGAGTCTCTGACAAGTGCCGCCGATGGTGGCCAACTCCCTCACCGTGGCGAGCTTGCAGTAAAAATAGTCTCTGCTGGTTCTCACTTGGTTGGTCTTGGCTCACGTACACGGTAGGCGTCCTCACATGGAGAAAAGGCACGGAGATCCAGGCAGGAAGGGGAGATGGGAACGGGGCAGATTCTGAGGATGTGCCAATGCCCTGGGGCCACGTGGGGTGGGACGGGGAAGGGCACAGCATGTCCCAGCCTTGATCTTTGCTTACAAGATACGGGATGGGTCAGCGGGTGGGGAGTGACGATGGGAAAAGGTCAACTTCTGAATCCGGTGGCTACGTCTTTCAGATGTTCCAACCACGGAATGGGTCCCCAGTCTAAATATGAAGTTTGACCGAAGGACAATGGAACTGAGTTGGGACTGCAAAGAAAACACTACCTACCTCGAATGTGTGATGATCCACAAGGAGAAAGGAGAGATCAGAAAAAAGGTAAGATGATTTGATAAGTCATCTTGACAGTCATTTGAAAGTCATCTGGTATCCTTCATGAGGCTCTCTTCACGTTAGCAATAAGGCTACAACAGGTGGGAATGAACAGCATGGGTATGACGTTGGGACACATCATGGTTCTAGATGTACCAGGGAGATAAGGGCTGGCCCGTGTCCAAAAGGTGCCAGGGGGCCTGATTCCCTGGGGGACTTAGCAACTCCTTGGAAAATGTCTTACCCCAAAAGGAAAGGGAGGGCGGGGCTCCCCAGAAAGGATGCCCAGCTCAAAGCTCCTATGAGGTTAGACCTGTCACAGGCTGTAGGGTGGGACCCTCGGGGATGATCACCCACCGAAAGAGGGCGAAATGAGACAATCTGGTGGGATGCGGGACCCAGGGCCACAAGGGCAGATTCCGATCGGGAACCCGAATGTGCCCAGAATTTCCAGGGGGCACTTTCCGGGAGACGGAATGTCCAACAACAGTGATCAGGGGGAAGACATATGGCTTATTCTGTGATTTTCAGGCTTTGGTGTCCCGTCAGAGGGTGTTGCTTAGGGGAACCGCTGTCCTCCCAGCAGAAACTGCAGCCTTTTGCCCGGAGGATCCATCCAAACTCATCCACACGGCGGACTTAATCCCAAGAAAGACATAGCATTAGTCCCGAGTGTTTGATGAAAACAAGGTCACAAGGCTCACCAGATACAATGGTAACATGAAGCCTGTGACTGTATGAGGGGTTTGAGACAGGATAAGAAAACTCCCCCGCCTGGACCCCACTGAGCCAGAATCTGCATTTTAACCGGATCTCTGGTGACTGAGGGCCCCAGTGAAAGAAGGCCTCTGTTCCCGCCTTCTAAACAACACTATACACTGCAGGGTTGAGGTCCCACCTACGCGTTGACACGCCAACACCCACCCAGAGAGTGTGCATGGGTGGTGGTGACTTCACGGGGTCAGTGGATGAACAGACGACATCCAGATGAGAAGAAAAAATTTCCTAATGTGCTGACTGGTTGCATCTTTTTAGCCCAAGAACAAAGACTGTCACTGCAACTTTTCCCATGATTCTCTCCATGGGGGAGTCACGTTCGTGGTTAAAGTAAATAGCACCCAAGGACCGATTCCAGAAAAACTGGTCTACGCTAACCCAGGTAGGGAAAACATCACAGTGATCCTTCTGGACATCATTACCCTCAAGGCATGCCCAATTTTGTCTTTCTCGTCTGACTTTGCTCACTTAGCATACATAACACCTTCTTTTTGTAACTGAATACTACTCCATCGTGTGTATACATCACATCTTCTGTATCCATCCATTCAGCAACACCGTTTAGGCTGTGTCCACACGTTGGCTATTGCGAATCATAATGAATGATGATTCACATTATTGTGAATGTGTGCCGTAATGAACAAGGGGGTGTGTATACCTTTTGGGGATCCAGACTTCGTTTCCTTTGGGTATAGACCCAAAAGTAGGGATTGCTGGGCCATATGAGAGTTCTGCGGTGAATATTTAGAGAAACTTCCTAATTTTTCCACAGTGGCTGCATTCACTCACATTCCCACCAGCAGTGCACAGGGTTCCCTGTTTTCCACACCCTCGCCGGTATTTATCTCTCCTCTTTTTCATAAGAGCCATTTAGCGGGTGTGAGACGACAGCTCCTTGCGGCTTTGATTCGCATTTCTTTGATGATGAGTGATGTGGAGTATCTTCCCACGTAGCCGTTGGCCATCTGTGTATCTTCTTCTGAAAAATGTATATTCAGGTCCTTTGCCCTATTCAGGTTGTTTCAGTTTTGGGGGGTCTTTTGTTGTGTTTGTTTGTTTGTTTTCTTTTGTTGTTTTCTCCTTCTTCTCCTCCTCCTCCTTCTCCTCCTCCTCCTCCTTCTTCTCCTTCTCCTCCCAAACCCAGAGTCAAATGCTTAATGGACTGAGCCACCCAGGCGCCCCTTATCTGTGTGTTCTTAAATTTTCTTCATCAATGTCGGATAATATTCAGTATACACATCTTTCACCTTCTTGGTTCAGTTTATTCCTAAGTATTGTATTCCTTTTGTTGCTATCAGAACAAAGGGATTATTTCCTTTTTTAAATTTTTCTTATTTTTAAGTAATCTCTACACCCAATGTGGGGCTCAAACCCACAGTCCCAACATCAAGAGTCACATGCTCTACCAGGTGAGCCAGTCAGGCACCCTGGAATTATTTTCTTAATTCTCTTCCTAAACGGGTTGCCATTAGAGTATACAAATACTGCTGATTTTTGTATGCTGATTTTGTATCCTGCAACTTTATTACATTTATTTATTAACTATAATAAAAGTGTTTTTTGGGGCACCTGGGTGGCTCAGTTGGTTGAGCGGCAGACTTTGGCTCAGGTCATGATCTCGCGGTTCGTGAGTTCCAGCCCCATGTCGGGCTCTGGGCTGACAGTTCAGAGCCTGGGGCCTGCTATGGATTCTGTGTCTCCCTCTCTCTCTGCTCCTCCCCTGCTTCCACTCTGTGTCTCTCTCTTTCTGAAAAATAAATAAATATTTTTAAAAATTTAAAAAAAATTAAAGTGTTTTTGTTTGTTTAGTTTTTAGGGGTTTTTTTGTACACATATGATTATATTATCAGCAAACAGATAATCTTGATTTTTTTTTTTTTTAATTTTGATACCTTTATTTCTTTTTCTTGTCGAATTGCGCTGGCTAGGATTTCCCATGCTATGTTTAAATTGAGGTGGTGATGGGGCACCTGGGTGGCTCAGTCGGTTAAGCAACCGACTTCAGCTCAGGTCATGATCTCACAGTCTGTGAGTTCGAGCCCCATGTCGGGCTCTGTGCTGACAGCTCAGAGCCTGGAGCCTGCTTCTGATTCTGTGTCTCCCTCTCTCTGTCTGCCCCTCCCCTGCTCACGCTCTACCTCTCTCTGAAAAATAAATAAACATTTAAAAAAATTTAAATCGAGCTGGTGAGAGTGCCTACGGTAGACTCATTTCTTACCTTACAAGGTAAGCTTTCTGTTTTTTTCCATTGCTGTTAGCTATGGGCTTTTTTACATCTGTCCTTTATTGTGTTGAGGCAAATTCTTTCTTTACGTATTTTATTGAAAGGTTTTTTTTTTTTTTTTCAATCATGAATGGATACTGAATTTTTGGATATCAGGATGTGATTTTCTTTCCTTCCATGTGTGTATGAGACTTTGGCTTCAGGGTGATCCTGTCCTCATGAAATGAATTTGGGGGACACCTGGGTGGCTCAGTCTGTTAAGCGTGCAATTCTCGATTTCGGCTCAGGTCATGAGTTTGAGCCTTGCATCAGGCTTCCCGCTGATAGCACTGAGCCTGCTTGGGATTCTCTCTCTTCCTTGCTCTCTCTGCCCCTTCCCACCTCTCTCTCTCTCTCTCTCGAAATAAAAAGTAAATAAAACAAAATGAATTTGGAAGTGTTTCCTCTTCTTCCATTTTTTGGACGTGTTTAAGAAGGACTGGAACGAACTATTGTTTGAATGCTCGGTAGAGGCTCCAAGCATGTGGTCCAGTTGCCCAGATTGTTTCCTTCTTGTGTCTTCTCAGGTGGCGAGGGCACCGCTGCCCAAAACTTCTCCTGTTTTATCTACAACGTGAACTTCATGAACTGCACTTGGGCGAAAGGTCGGGCTGCGCCTGATGACGTCCAATATTTCTTGTACATACAAGACTTTAAGTAAGTGTCCACCTTGTGTAGGCAGCCTTGAAAAGCACAGGGCGGGAGGGGGGGACACCCTGACCGGTCTCCGAACACCTTGGAATCTTGTAGGGAAAAAAGGGAAAGAGAGTGTCCTCATTACGTGACGGACTCAGGAACGCACGTCGGATGTCACCTGCACGATCTGTCGGGATTAACGTTCCGCAATTACTTCCTGGTGAACGGTACCAGCCGAGAGACGGCGGTCCAGTTTTTTGATACGATTTTGTCCTTGAAAAAAATAGGTAAGAACGGCGTCCTGTGGGGTGAACCCAATGCTTGGCAGGCGACCTTGGAACAGGATTTGCTGGGACACCAGCCCGCGTTTCTTGGGGCTGCTGTTAGCACCTGGCCACAAACTGGGGGGGTTGGAAGAACGGAAATGTATTCTCTCGCAGCTCTGGAGGCCAGAGACCCCGAGTCGAGGTGTCCATACGGTTCCTTCCTCCTGGAAGGTGGCCGAGTAAGGGGGCCAGCACCCCTTCTACTCTGAACTCGGCGTGGTGAAAAGGTGTGGTGCCCGTGCCCCCCACCGCCCACTGGAGGAAGCCAGCGCCCCCCCCCAGAGGCCCCCACAGTGAAGCCCCAGCAGGACAGAGGGGGACATTCCGACCGGAGGTGGCGGGAGGGGAATTGGGGCTCGCTTGTGGACCTCCCCATGTGGTAGTGGGCACAGCCTTCTCTTGCCTTTTGGGGAGACCCCGCTGACAAAGGGATGCCAGCTCACGTCTCCCCCAGCCCCCTCTTGCAGAGCCACCTGTTGGGGGAGCTCTAGGTAGCCGCTGGGGCCCCTGGGACTGTCACAGCAGGACAAACGTCCCCTGGCCCAGACGTGGCCACCTTCCTTCCGAGGGAATCCCGACTTTTCTCTCTTCTTCCCCGTGTTTCTAAGACTTTTATTGGACCCAGGAGGCCCCAAGATTATTGCAAACTTCAGCCCTGTGATACTGTCACTTCCGATCAGCAGCTCTGGGTCTCCCTCCCGGCTCTGTGGCCCAGGGCTGACCAGAGCCTTTGAATTTCCCGGGGTCCAGAGCCGTGAACGTGTCTTTTGTTATGTTAACGAGGTGACCGCTAAAAGCGCTCCGGGTGGGGGCCGGTTGCCAGGGTTACCAACCGCAGGCTCCGCGGCTTTGAATTCTCAGTTCCCTCCTCTGACTTCGGCGAGGGGCAGGGGGGATGGGAGAGGGGCTGGGGGCCCCAAGGGGCAACGGGTTAAGGAGTCGTGTCTGCGTAAGGAAGGCTGCGTGCCATCCCGAAAGGACCGGGAACGGAACGCGCCCCCTCCCACCTCCGGGGTTGAGGACCCAATGTGGCCGCCGGGAGGAGACACAGACCGCACGTCCCCAGCCTTGGCGCCACCCACCCCGCGGGGTATCCCTTCGCCGCTCGCCGGGTCAGGACGTGCGTCCTCTCCGCCCGGCTGTCCCCATAGTGGCCCCGTGCCCGCTCAGCGCCCCCTGCGTCCCTCCTTCCCTCCCCCGGGGTTCCCGGGTCCCTCCCCGCAGCCGGCCACGCGGTCACGCGTGCGCACCGCCAGCCCTGCCCACGCGCCCGCCCGCGGTCCCCTTTGGTGCTCCGGGGGACCCCTACCGGCTGCCCCTTGACGCCCGGCGGGCGGACCTGGGCCGGAGCCCCCGGGGCTCAGGGCCGTGACCTCGGTCCCCCTCGCAGAAATATACAGCCCGCCCGACAACGTCAGCGTCGACTGCAACCCGTCCCACTGCCAGATCCTCTGGGACCCGCCCAGGACGCGACACCCCTCGTCCGCCTGGGACTTCAACTACCAGCTGCGCATCCAGAAACAGGTCAGTGCGCTCGGCCCCGGACCGGACGGCGTCGACCCAGAGGGCAGACCAGCGCCCCGCCCCCCCCGCCGCGAGGGCCCGGTGCCCGCGGCCCGGCAGCGCTGGGTGAGGCAGGGCGGCGGGCAGAGGAGGACACGGTGCCCCCCGCGGGACGGTCACCCCGCGGCCGGTCCCAGGGCGAGGGGACACCCCCGGCTGCACCCCGAAAGCCGTCGGGGCTTGGAGGTGAGCAGGCGGAGGCAGGACGCACAGGCCCTGGCCGTCCACGCCGCCGGCACCCGCCTGGAGAAGGGGGTTCTTTCCTCCAGGACCGCAGGGACCCAGTGTAGACAAGGCAGGTTTGCTCCGCCACGACCACGGGAGGCCGGGGGGGGGCAAGGCGGACTCTCTCTTCCTCATCAACGGAGACTCGGTGTAGACAGGGGGGACGCTAGGCTCCATATGGACGTGCGCCCAGTGTAGACGGGGGACGCTAGGCTCCATATGGATGTGCGCGCAGTGTAGACAGGGGGAGCCTAGGCTCCATATGGACCTGCGCCCAGTGTAGACAGGGGGACGCTAGGCTCCATATGGACGTGCGC